TCTCTGCAACTTACCTGGCTGCTTCTTGCTCCTCGTGGCCTGACTGAGGGGTGCTGGGAGCAGGGGGCGGGGCTTGTTGCATGTGCCCACCCCCTGGACTCCTTACTGCCGGAGCTCCGCTCCTGCAGGAAATGACCCCTGGAATTATATATAACCTCAGTCCCTGACAGTTTATGGCTGGCAAACAAAAACAGAAGGGGAAAAGAAATCCAACCCAAAGAAACAATAAAGTTGGGTACCCAAAGTCTGGGTGAGAGAAAATTATGAGAAGTCAATTAAGCAGCCATTTTGTGATTGTGCCCGCTGCCCTCTGTGCCCACAAGATACCAAAAGGCTGGGGATTCCTGTTGTATCTAGTCTGTTGTTGTTGTTCAGTCGCACAGTCGAGTCCGACTCTTTGCAACCCCATGGACCAGATCACGCCAGGCCTTCCGGTCTTCCGCCATCCTCTGAAGTTGGCTCAATTTCATGTTCGTTGCATCTATGACACTGTCTAACCATCTCATCCTTTGCCGTCCCCGTCTTCTTTGACCTTCAATCTTTCCCAGCATCAGGGTCTTCTCCAGTGAGTGCTCCCTTCTCATTGGGTGGCCAAAGTATTTGAGCTTCATCTTCAGTCTCTGGCCTTCCAGGGAATGTAGTCTTCTTTTAATATTACACTTCTGTTGCTTGGGCATCCAAGCTCTTTCTCTCATAGGGAGTTTCAAGGTGAAATGTAGCTTGGCAAGTGTACCCCCCTGCTGGAGGTTGTTTTGGATGACTGAGGACATTAAAGTAATTGGAAGGGGACTTAGCAAGACTGCTGTACAAAAACTGAACAAAGTTTGGGTCCGGTGACACCTTTAAGAACAACAAAGTTTAAAACTCTTTTGCTACTCCTAGGGCAATTTCCCCCTTCTTCTCAGAAGTGCCACACTCAGTCTTTCTCTCTCAGCTAGAGATGTAGTTAGGAGCCTATCTTTGTCTCTCCACTTTCCTATCAAGTATGTTAATTCCTAAATAAGCCTTTATCTACTCTTTAATCAGGTTGTGCACCATTGCAGTGTCAATTACTCTGCCAACAATTCCTCCCCTGTAAGGCTGGGTACACAGCAGACGCTCAGCACCGGGAACATCCATCCCTGTGGGAAGGATGAGTTATAAATTATTTCTATGGGAGAAGTTGGCTCCCTCCTCTGACACTAAGGTGTAATTACACCTGTGTACATTTGCAAAGGAATTTAACAGAACCCAGATGAAGGGAAGACGAATGGAATGATTGACAAAGTTGCTTGGGAAAACATTAGAAACTGAGGTCTGCACGACTGTGTATAGCCTGCAGCAACTAGAATCCTACTATGGAATTTTGCATCATATTAATGTGTCATGTTGCGACTTAATGCTTTGCTTCAATTCTGTTTTTAGACTTCATATTTAGACTTTTTAGACTTCATATTGGATCTACGACCCTAATCCTATTCCATTGTCTTTTTTAAATTGTTAATTAGCAGTTTATCAAAGTTTTGTAAACAGTATGGTATGAATCCCACAACTTCTTATGCCAATGTGAAAGTGTGGGTTATCAACAAAGAGAGACATTGGGCATCTTCTTCATCTACGCCAATTTGGTGTAGTGGTTAAGAGTGCGGACACTAATCTGGGAGCACTAGGTTTGATTCCCCATTCCTCCACATGCAGCCAGCTGGGTGACCCTGGGTCAGTCACGGTTCTCTGAGAGCTATTCTCAAAAGAGCAGTTCTCGAAAGAGCTCTCTCAGCCCCACCTACCTCATAGGGTGTCTGTTGTGGGGCGATGAAGGGGAGGAGATTGTAAGCTGCTCTGAGTGAAGGGCGGGGTATTCTTCTTCTACTACTACTACTAGTACTATTGCTACTACATAAGAGAAGCCAATGTTGGATCAGGCCAATGGCCCATCCAGTCCAACACTTTGTCACACAGTGGCCAAAAATACCAGGTGCCATCAGGAGGTACACCAGCGGGGCCAGGACACTAGAAGATCTCCCACTGTTGCCCCACCCCCAAGTACCAAGAATACAGTGCATCACGTGCCCCAGAGTCCCTAGCTATACCTTGTGGCTAATAGCCACGGATGGGTCTCTGCTCCATGTATTTATCTAGTTCCCTCTTGAAGCCATCCATGCTTCTTTTTCTTCTCATTTAAAAATTAAAGCACCCTCAGTTGCAGTTACGAGGGGTGACTTGTCTGCAAATTTCACAGAAGGGTGGGGTTTAACCATACATGGATCTTTATTCTTTCTGCTTCCAGAAACAAGGATGGTATTTTCCTCCCTCAAACCTCGCAATGCCTTGTGGCTCAGGGGTTTTTTTGGTGTGTACTATGAATTCCTGACTAGTGCGTGTGTGTTTTCCATTACAGGAAGCGGGGTCTTTAATGAAAGTACTGGCAAAATATGTTTAAAGAGGACAGAGCGAGAAATGCACCACGGACTCCTGGGGGGAAGTGAGAGCCCCGAAGGCCTATCCAGTGAAAGGATCGAAAACTGCCAAGTCTGCGGTTTAAAATTGATTAAATCTCATGTTGATCACCCAATACAAAGCGCCAGGCTTTGACTGTATATAGGCGAATCCTTGTCTCTTCCCTGCAAATATGGCCGCTGCCGGAGAAAGCATGGTGAATAAATGTCCCTGTTTGCACTGCTGAAAGCGTTCTTTGTAGGCAGTGATGTATGGTTCAGTAGGGGAGGATAAATGAGAAGAAGGTAAGTGGTCGCTAGGGGACTAGCCAGGCCAGGAAGGGACAGTTTACTGCCGAAGGAAAGCTGTTTGCTGTAAGCTGTTAACCGCTATTTAGATGTGACTGTGAAGTAGAAGAGACGAGGGCTGATCCAGCGTAATCTTTCACCTCCAATTGCCCCCTGGGGCTGCCATTTCCCCCATTCCAACGTCTATTTTGTATGTTTTCCCCAACAAGACAAATCCAGCTCATATTTGCATGGCATTTTCAGTGTGCTTCGCCTATACCCACATTGCATCATGGCAGCCCTTACGACCACCCTGTAAGGTAGGCCGGTATTGCTGAGCCCATGTTGCAGAGACAGGACTGAAGCTGGGAGGGTGAGCTTGGAGCAGACAGAAGCGGATGCTGCACCCATCCGTTTCCTTGCAGTTTTTTCCACAGCCACGTTGGGAGGTTATTCTTCCTCTACACTGTGTGCCGCATTCACTTTCTTTATTCATCGGGTTTTATGGTACCTTCTGCATAGATTTATGGCCATTCAGGGGTGACTTGGCAGTCAGTGCGGCGTTGCCCCGGGGTATCTGAATGTCGTTTTGAGCGGCACCTTTTCCTTCCTCCGCTTCCGATTCCAAGGGAACAATAAGCAGACAGCTTGACACAGCTTCATTGATCTCCATCAGTTCCCCACCCCTATTTCCCCCTCTGTATTTATCACCTCACCATGAATTACTTGGCTCAGGCCGCTAATGACCGCTGAGGCAAGTACTGACACAGGAAAATCTGTATACCAATGATCCAAGGCAATGCAATGAAAACAGATGTTCCAAGGCAAGGGGGACTCAGGCCAAGTGCTGATAAAATGTGGACTGAATGCCAGATGCAGAATGGATGAGTTCTGAAGCAGATTGCAGCACAGTTCTTCCAGCGGCTGCGCCACAGCAGCTTCACAGCAACTCTGGGGGGGCTACTGGAGATCCGGCAAATGGAGAGGAAGTGTGCGCACATGCACACGCACACAAACAGCTGTGTAATTGCTATTTTCGAAACTGTTGGGAGATCCACTGATGGATCTTCCAGAGTCTTATCTAGATCGAGTCCACAGAAGGGAGAAGCTGAAGGCTCCACCTTGGTGCCAGCCTGAAGCCCGCTCACGTAGCTTTTGCACCCTGCAGGCTTGAGCCACAACTACCTCCAGCCGGACACCGAATCACACTGTATTAATTCAGCCTTCAGTTGGCTCTGCTTGCTGCCAGGCATGCTTCAGGTGGGAGTGGCCCAGGATAAACCAAGATCCTCCCGTGAGTCACTTAAGTGCAAAGCCTTCCCTTTATTATACGGAGCAAAAGCAAAACTCTGCTGCTGTGCAACAATGGGCTTCCGCCTCTGGGTCAGGGCCCTCAGGTAGGTCATGCGCCCCCCTCCCTTTTTTGGTCCTGCTTTTTGGAAGGACTTGCTGCTCGCGCACCCTCTTGAAGAGCTCCACCCCTCTCGGCTTTCTGCATGCACATCAAGAAGAGCCAGGGGATAGGGAGGTGAAGTCACACAGCACTGCAGGATTCCACCGAGGGGCTGACCCATGAATCATTCTTCGCTATGGGACACCTCCCTGTGCTCGCCTAGGGCATACGGATGCCAGCCTCCAGGTGGGCCTGGGGATCTTAGGGTTGTCAGCCTCCAGGAAGGGCCTGGATATCGCCTGCTTTTACAACTGATCTCCAGACAATAGAGATCACTTTCCCTAGAGCAAGTGGCTGCTTCCGCGGGCGGATTCTAGGGCATGGTTCCATGCTGAGGCCCCTCCCCTCCCCAAACCCCGCCCTCTCCTGGGTCCACTCACAAAGTCTCCAGGTATTTTCCAACCCAGACCTGGCAATCAGTGTCTCCTTTAAGCTGAGTATGTGTGAGCTAGCTCACGGTTTTTTAGCCTCCGGCGCACACCTTTTTGTCTCACCTTAGGAAGGAATGGCTCCAGGGCAAACTGATTGATGCAGTAGCCAAATCGCTCGCTCACAACTTTAATGCCAGTCGCTCACCAAGTAGAATTTTTGCTCACGAGACTCCACAGCTTAGAGCAGAGGTCATTTCGGGGGGATCGCGGGGGTTCGCAGTTCCCCTGGGTGAGGTACGGGTGGTACATGACGAAGCCCCGCCCCCTGCTTCCGGCCGCCCCGCTTCCGGCCCTCATTCAGCCAGGAGGAGGCAGGAGAAGAGGGAGGGTAAGTTGCTTCCTCCCTGCCTCTCCCCACCCCTGCCTGCCTGGGGCCAGGGAGGGCCTTCGCGGGGCTTCCTTGCACTCCCGCCGGCCTTGCAGGTCCACCGCCGGGCCCCTCATGGGGCTCGGCAGTGGAGCTGCAAGGCCGCTGCCAGCGGCCGGGACTGTTGGGAACGGGGTGTGTGGCCTTATGACACACTTCCGGCGATGTCAGGGGGTGTGACATATGCTAATGAGTTATGCTAATGAGTTCCCCTAGCTCTTTTTCTACGAAACGACCCCTGGCTTAGAGGGAGCATTGCTGGCAACCCTAGGGGGTCTCCAGAATTCCAGCTCATCTCCAGACCACAGAGATCAGTTCCCCTGGAGAAAACGAATGCTTTGGAGGGTGGACTCTGTGGCATCGTACCCCACTGAAGTCCCTGTCCTCCCCAGGATCCACCCCCAAATCTCCAGGAATTTCCCAACCTGGATCTTGCAACCCTATCCCCCCCGCCAGTGCCTTGAGGGACCTGGCAACCCTACATGGGCATCACCTCCCTGCCATCCTTGGTGTGCTGCCCACAGTTCTGGCCTTGGTATCCAATGAAGTCATAGAATCATCGAGTTGGAAGGTGCCTCCAGGGTCATCTCGTCCGACCCCCTGCACAATGCAGGAAATTCACAAAGACCTCCCCCCCCCAATCACTCTGGCGTCCACTCTTCCTTCTGACTGACGTCACACGCTTGCTGCCAGGGGAGGTGGGGTAAAGGAGAGCTGCTGGTCTGGGAAGAGTGGAAAGTGATGTTCAAGTTAAAAAAAACCCAGCCATGTGATTTTTTACTCTAGAGACCACTGCATGAACTAAGAACCCATCAACACATAGGGTTGTCAGTCTCCAGGTGGGGACCTGGAGATCTCCTGGAGACCCAGTTTGGTGTAGTGGTTGGGAGTGTGGACTCTAATTGGGGAGACCCGGGTTTGATTCCCCACACCTCCACATACAGCTGCTGGTGTGACCTTGGGTCAGTCACAAGTTCTTTCAGAGCTGTTCTCTCATAAGCAGTCCTAGCAAGAGCTTTCTCAGCCCCACCCGCCTCACAGGGTGTCTCTGTTGTGGGGAGGGGAAGGGAAAGGAGATTGTAAGCCGCTCTGAGACTCCTTCGGGTAGTGAAGGGCGGGGTATAAATCCAATCTCTTCTCTTCTGGAATTACAATTGATCTCCAGACTAGAGATGAATCCCTCCCCCCAGAGAAAATAGCTGCTTTGAAGGGAGGACTGTATGACATTCTACCCTGTTAGGGTCTCTATTCTCTCCAAACCCCACCTTCCCCAGGCTTCACCCCACCCCCAAACCTCTGGGAACGCTAATCAACAACCACCAAACTCGAGTTTAGAGTTTTATTAACAAAGTCAGATCCCTATAGCTTATGCCGTTTCCTAGGCCGTGCTCTCTGGTTCTGAAACGCCACGAAGAAGTTCCACTCCCAGGAGAGCAGCGCTGAAATGTTCCACGTTATCCCAGACGTAACTTATCTCTCCTTTAGAGCACTGATTGCCAGCCCTGACATCATCCTTTGTGGGTTGTGTGACCACGAGGGCGAGGAAAAAGCAACAGCAAAGCTTGCTTCATGTGTGCAGTTTCAGGCATACTTTGCTAGCGCTTTCAAGCGTGTGGTTATGAAGATCTCCCCCCCCCCTGGCTTCCGTCCATGCTTAAGGCTACAAAGAAAGCTGGGCGGGGGGGGGGGAGTACATTGCTGACTAAGGTAACCTCATATCTGAACATCTGCATACGTTTGCATATTTTATAGGCCCACTGAGTAGGGACGAGAGAGGTCTTGTGGGAGCGAACCAGTCGGTTTCCCCAGCAATGTGCCTCCTACCCATCCAGTCTGCGCCATTCGGAGCACGCGCATGAGGCAGGCTGAGTGCTACACCTTGGAGGTTAAAAAAAAATCGCTTTCTTTAAGAAGCAACTGGATAAGAAGACGAAGCTGAATGTGCAGTGCCTTCTGGGAGAGACCGTCGCCCAGTGGCATGGAAAGACTCTCGACTCTTGCTTAACTCGAGCTTGAAGTCAGGGTAAGACCTATCCAGTAGGGTGCCTTGGATGGTTCTGTCTCTCTGCGTCTCCTTCTGCTAGCACCAGTCTTGTGAAGGCTTTTTACTGGATCGAGCTCTCTCCTGCCTAGACTCTCAACATTCCCTTCCCCCTTCTGACAGCCTGGCTATACTCAGGAGGAAACGCTTTCCTGCTACTGTCCGGACTCAAAGGAAGCCAGCCTTCATCATCCGGGCTACCACGCGCAAGACCACATCGGGCTCATCCGACGGATTCCACAGACTACACTGCAGTCAATATCCCAGTCAAGGCAGGAGTCCAGTGCAAAGTTCTTTTTGCTTTTAGCTGTTCTTGATGGTCAGTTTGAAATGGGGCTGGGAAGAAAGGGTCTTGATTTCTGCCAAGTGGGGGTTGATGTACACTTCCCCCAGCGTCCCTTCCTCTTCCTCGTCCTCCTCGCATAGGTCGAAGATAGCCCTCAAGAGGTCGGGGCGGACATAGTGCAGCAGTATGACCACGGCTCCGATCAGGAAGCAGAGAAGTCCTGAAAGACACACAAGCCAGACGTCGGATTCTCAGAAAGAAGAATCAAGCTTCATCGTGGGTTGGGGAAACGTTTCAAAGGCGTGTTCATAAACAGTGCTCACTCTTAAGCATTTAGGATTTGGGAGGCCATCCTCACACATGACTGATCTGGCTGTTTTGCTGCCCAGCCCAGAAACATTCATGATTAATTTTCACAACAAGGGAACAAGAGCCCTTACATAACCACTGAATTCCAGATACCGGAAGGGAAAGGTTTTCGGTGTTTTTTGTTGTTTTTTTAAAGGGGAGGGGATGGATTCTGGTCGAGCAGTTTTCGTGTGAAACAATAACCTCAGAATGCAGGTGATAACTAATTCTGCAGGGCATCCATACAAGTAGGGATCTAGTCTCTTGTTTGCAAATCTGTTCTGCAAAAAATCCCCATTGGGAAGTCTCCTTATGCCACTTTATACAAAGCAACTAACTCCGATACTCTGTGGGAAGCTCGCAACGTACACAGTACACAATAGCTGCATGGACACACAACACTGCCTCATGCACAGTACACAATAGCTGCATGGACACACGAATACTGAATCAGACCCTTAATCCATCACAGTATTGTCCGTTCAGACTGACAGCATCTCTCCAGGGTCTCAGATAATGGCCTGTCACACCTCCTACTACCTCGTCCTTTAAAGTGGACGGTGCTGGGGATTGAACCCAGGACCTTCTCCATGCCAAGCAGAGGCTCTGCTGCTGAGTCTGTCACCTTCTACGGCAAAACAGTAGCCCAGCATGACCAGGTATCCAGTGGTATAAATGAACACTATATCTGGACATGCTTGTCTGGCATCAGGCTTCCCAATCAATCTGTCGCTCAAGAGATCTTCCCTCCCCAGCAGCAGGAAGCGGCTTCCTGCCAAACAACCGACTTCTTAAAAAGTGGCTCAACTCTCAAGGCCCCGTAGCAATACCAGGATGTAGGAGGTCTTCTGTCATTGGCAGCTGCGGCACACACCCATGGAGCACCCATACTTCTCAGATCACGTAGAACAGGGGCCTCCCTCAGTATTCGCAAAGCAAAACTCCTCAAGAAGCTTCCTTCTCTAGTCCTTCCAGAGAGAAGAGGGGATTCTGTCTAGCCATTTGATGCACCATGATTCCAAGGCCGGAAAGCCACCACCAAGCGGAAAGTGCAGAGGCAAAGGGAGTGGGGGAAACGGACGTGTCACAGCACCACAGGGTCTGCTTTTGCCATCTTTGCTTTTTAAAAGGTATTTCAAAAACTCCACAGCACGGATTGACATGGTATTATAATGACGTTATAATAACACTTATAGCTCTGAGGAACCGGGCATGCACATGAAAGCTTATACCCAGAATAATAAGAAGAGTTGGGTTTTGTACCCCACTTTTCTCTACCCTGAGCAGTCTCAAAGTGGCTTACAATCACATTTCCTTCCTCTCCCCACAACAGGCACCTTGTGAGGCAGGTGGGGGCAGAGTGAGCTCTGAGAGAACTCGTAACTGACCCACGGTCACCCAGCTGGCTGCACGTGGAGAAGTGGGGAATTAAATCCGGTTCTCCAGATTACTGTCTGCCACTCTTAACCACTACACCAAACTGGAAATTGCAGTAACTCCTGGGGCACGCCAGGAACAAGGCAAGCAATGCTGCCAGCAGGAAGGTTTGTGGCAGGCAATCGATGAGCAACCAGAGAGGAAATGAAAATGCTTCTATAAGCCCATGCAAATCTTGAGGCTGAATTTCAGTGTTTAGCATCTGTTGGACACAAGATCGAGCATCGGATATTTGCCAGCCAACGCTGCTTTCTACAGCAGCCAGTATCTGATACAGTTGATATCCTACGGAGAATTCACGGTGTTGTGAAAATTTGTTGGCTTCAGTCCATCTTGTTAGCTGACATGCTGTGGCAGTAGGTGGCGGTCTTTAGCCAACGTGCATGCAAAAATGAAAGCCTGGGCTGCGTGTTCCAAAGACCTGCTGCGACTTGACAGCATTTTCCACCACCACTTTCCTTTGGAAGAGATTAGAAGCAAGATTAGAAAGAGAGATGGTTGAATTGCAACTGATGACGAAGCTCAAGACAATGCATCCACCTGGACTGGATCGAGACCTGGGTTTCCTGTCTCATTACTGATGCCGATTTCTCCACGCCTCTGCATATCTCACCTAAATCCGATCATGTCTGCTACTGTCATTCACCTGCTGTTTGCCTGATAATGTCATTCAGCATCTTAAATCATGCCACTTTCCAATATATAAAACAGATGGACTCACATTCTAGCTGTATCTAAAGAAGTGAGCAGTGACTCAAGAAAGGTCCTACTCTGCCACAAATATTGTTTGCCTTTACGGTGCTACTGGACTAACACAGCTACTCATCTTGATCTATCCTCTATTAATTTGTTTCATTGCTTTTTAAAGTGATCTAAGCTAGAACCCATCGGTGTTCAGAGCACTGGAGTAAGATGTGGGAGACCCTGGTTCTAATCTCCACTTGACCTTGAAGCTTTTGGAGTAACCTTGGGCCAGTCATTCTACCTCAGCCTACTCTACGTCATACGGTGGAAGTGGTGAAGATAAAACGGAGGGGTGGGGGAGAGGACCACGTAGGCCAACCTGAACTCCTTGCACAAAGGGTGGGATAAAAAGGTACTAAATAAATAAACATATCCCATAGCAGTTCAAAAACATGAAAATATACAAACCCATTTTGGCAGCTATTGCAGGAAACACAAATATGGGGTAACGCCCACATAGCACCACACCTGAGATCATTCACAAGCACCCATGAGACCATTTCTAGGAATCAAGAAGTCTGGCAAAAAAACTACTTTCTCTCCCCCACCCCGCCACGCCCCTGTCTGAAAAACAAAAGCTGTTCCGGATCCTAACCTGTGGCGAGCGTTAGCCAGAAAGATGACCCGTAGACAGCCTGCAAGGAGGCGGAGCCAAAGTGGATCACACACGATGAAGAGCTCCTCACGGTGGAGAAGGAGAGGAGCGCAAAGATCAGAAAGGCCGCCGTCACCAGCATCATGTAGCCGCCATACTCGGGGACCGGCATAGAGAACAACATGTTGGAGATGAGCCATGCACAGAAGGCAACCCTGCGGGAGAAAGGCAAATGCCACTGGTTACATCTGTCTCACCGTGTCCTCACAGCAGCTGAGCCTCACCTGGATTTGGCAACTGTACTCCACCATCCCCTGCCGGTGGCCAGGAGGGACCTGGTCAGCCCCGTAGCCAGAAATTTTAGCTTGGTGGGCCGTGGGGAAATTTTGTGAGGCAGCAAGGGAGTGCGGAGGAAGGAGGGGCAGCCGCACGCCTTCCCTGGACTCCAAGCAGCAATGTTGTGACTTGGAGTTTTGTCGTGGGCAGCTCCCCACTTGAAAAACAGCATTAAAGGGTTCCCTTTAAATGGTGTTTTTCAAGCAGGGGCTGCCCGCGCCACTTGGAGTTCGGGGAAAGCATGTGGCCAGCCGCCCCCCCTCTCCCTCACAGCCTGCAAGATTTAAAGGGCCTGCTGATCAGTGGGAGTATGTGGCTCGGCGATCAGCTGGAGGGCCCTTTAAATCTTGGAGGAGGGGAGGGAGAGGGGCGGCTGCAAAATTGAAAGGGCCCTCCAGCTGATCAGCAGGCCACATACTCCTGCCGATCAGCTGGGCAGCAGCTGTTGTGGGGCATGCCTCACATTTAGGGGGCGGAGCCCCAAAATGCCCCGCTGTAGCTACAGGCCTGGACCTGGCAAACCTAAGCCAAAGAGGACTAGTGGCCATGGTCTTTGTGATGCGTGCGACTGAACATTTCTGCCAAAGGATGGAGGTAGCATCCCCACTTATTCCAGAACTAAGCTAGACCCTGCCAGTTACTGTCCAGCAACAGGAACTGAGAGGTACGTGACTCATCGGAAAGCCTTGGCTCTTGATCCTCTAAGGCAGGAAGTGGCACTACTAAAGGCGTGCACTCCTTTAAGCAGAGTGGGGTGCTGTAGTTGACTACTTCCCACACAGAGCAAGGGGGTTGGAGCAAGTGACTTCTAGGATCCCTTCTAACTCTGTGTCAAGAAACTGGTCTCCTTTAAGAGAGTTTTCCTGCCTAAGTGTTACCTTTCTTGACTATAGAAGTCATCACCCCCACCTGCCGGCTTGTTATCAGAATTGTTGCTTAGGCTGGTAGACGTGATTAACTTGCAGCAGCTGAGAACTGTCATCTAAAGTGGCTGACAGCTTGCAACATAGAGATCTATCCTGCTAACAGCGTTCTATTGGCTAAATGGCTTTTCTTTCTGCACTGAGAACTTCAGCCCCACAAGAAAAAACATTGTCCCACAGGCCACAAAATCCTGGCCCGATGAGGCTTACTTACCACAGGGTAGCCGATGCATAGTGTCCCGCGATCCTGTACTGGCCGTGCATGCCACAGGGGCTGAGCGTGCTGAACTTCTCCGCCGCATAGAGGATAGGGTTGGGCAGCCCTCTCTCCAAGCCTTCCTGAAACTCATGATCGTAGTCTTTCCCGAACAACCAGGAAAAATGCTCGTTGTAGTTGATGGTTTCATTGAGCTGCCCCACGGGTTTCCCTGCAGAGAGAAAAACACCTGATTAGTACAGAAGGCAGAGCGCAGATCAGAGGGGCAGAGAAATAGCCAGGCAAGACTGGGTGGGAGAGACAGACAGATTATTTATGCACTGGGCCAGGGAGTGTTGGGCTTTTTTCCCTTGTAGTCTTTGTTTCCTCCTCAGCGTGCATGATTATGTACAGATCTTGTACAGTTTTAACAAAAGGCACAAACTCACCAATAAGCTGCAAAAAACAGCTTCCTTGTTACAGGATGAGGAATTGCACATGTGCACAATGACATATGCAAGGTTTAATGAGACCCAGGAAAGTACACCATACAGAGGGACATTTCCCCAATACATAAGAGACTCATGTGGTGGATGCTTTGCATGCACAAAGCCCCAAGCTCAATGCTCAGAATCTCAAGTTAAAGATGATGTATGTTGGGAAATACCTTTCTTTACCCAAGACCCTAGATCAGGGGTCTCTGTGTGCCCATGAAGTGTTTTAAGGAAGTGGACAAGACCAGGGAGGGCTTTTGCCCAGCAAGGCTTCTGATTGGTTATTGCAGATTTGATTGGCTGTGCAGATTTTTTTAAAATGTTGCTCTGGTGGCAGCTGCTGCCACAGCACAAGGACCTTCACTGTATGACTGCAATTCAGCTGTGGCAATCATTTTGCTGCTGGCTTGCCCACCACACCATGTCGGAATTCCAAAGGCGCTCATAGGCTCAAAAAGGTTGGGAACCCCTGCTCTAGATACTAAGCTACATATGTTCAGTAATACTGGTGACAATGCACCCCAAGGGTGGAGCTTTGTATTATTCTAGCAAACGTGATATAAGCAACAAATGCCCTGAGGGAGGGGTTGTGGCAGAGAAACCAGGAAGGGGTCCAATGCTAATGCAGCAGAAAATCATCTTGTGTCACTTCAAAGCCTGAGGAGTTTTTATTCTAGCTTATGCTTTCAGGTACTGAGGCTGCGATCAGACGGCAGCCTTGGCTCAGTCTGGCTGCACCTCTAATTTCTCCGGAGCTATTTGTTCCAGAGAGGTGCAACCAGACATGCACACAGCCTGACTCCACAGTGGACCGATCAGACTGTGCTACGTGGTACCATGGAGAGGACAGGCTGGAAGGTTTTCTTTAAAAATCTAATGTGTGCATACGCAGAACCACTTATTTGCCAGGAGCATATATGCGGTTATGTGCATATCGCGAAGTGTTAAAAAAATTGGCAGCCAGGGACCAGAAGCATCCGACCTCTCGCTTGTGCACGCGATGGAGAGATCAGACATCTGGAAATGCGTGGTGAGACCAGTTCCATCACAAACACCAGGCTTTATCCAGTGTCAGGAAAGTCGTGGATACGGACAGGAGGCTGATGGGGGGCGGGAGACAGATAGTGCTGTCTGGATGCACACTTTAAATCCAGTAGGGATAACCAGCTACATCGTATCACGTGGCTCATTTGATCACAGCCTCAAACTGGTACTGCTCAGAAACATGACGCTGTATCACCAAGCATGTCTCCCTGTTGGACCCCCTCTTCTGCTTAAGCACTGCGGACTCACCAAGCAGCGTGATGTTGACTCCCGCCAAGCCGATGTGAACACCAACATCTGCATATACCACATCAGGACTGAAAGACTTGTAGGTGGTGTTGGCAGTCACCCGCCCGCTCTCCCAGTCAGAGGTGAACTGAACAGCTGCAGGAAGGGGGAAACTCAGTGAGCACCACACAGCTTCATAATTCGTTTCTCGCTGGCATTTTTATATCTGGGAGCTTTCCTAAGGCACAGGCTTGGTTGCGCAAAAGCACGGGGGTACTCCATCCTCCACCTACTACAACAAGATACTTTAACCCACTACAGTAAGTCCCTCCCCCACAGGCAACATCTAGAACCTTTAACAGCCTGGATCATTTGGGCAAAGAGCACAATTCCAGATTCAGAGATCTAAAGCCCTCATGTCTGCCATTCATTTTTTTCTTCCTGTTTCCAGTTATTTAATTCCTTTACCCCCTTGGAAAAGCTCGTTGGACCTTTTTATAAGGATAACAAAATGCAGGCAGTTTTGCTATGGCATTAACACTGGGCAAAAAGCCAACCTAATCAGTTTTTT